GTTTATAGTAGAGAAACCTGGCAGATTTCATTTTAAACAAGTGATAAAAGTGAAAATTTCCAATAATGGGAGTAATTTCCAATTACCATCTTGTGCTTCCTGATGTGATGAGAAGTGTCAGTCAGTGTTCTTGCCAAAAATGCATAAATCAAGAAGAGACATCATACAAACCTAGACTAAGCGATTGGCTTCTGTCAAGTATGACATTCAAAAATGTCAAGAAATAGGAAAAACCAAGAAGCTCATTCAGACTGAAGGAGACTAAGGAGACATGTCTAAATCCCACACCGTTCTGGCTCAGATCCTGAATTTATGAAGAGCATGACCGGAACAACTGGCAAGCTTGAATGGGGTCTGTGGATTAAATTGTCCTGATTTCGATGGTTATGCTGTGGGTGTACAGGGAGAGTGTCCTTGTATTAGGAAATACACAATAAAGAATTAAGGGGTAAGAGGCCATGTTTACAGCTTACTTTCAAACAGATCAAACGTTAGCATTGGGAGAAGTTGCATGAAGGGCATCTCTCAGCTCTGCTATCTCAGTAACTTTAATGTAAACTTGAAAATAAAAGGTAACAAAATTCCTAGCCTATCTGTGCCCAGGAAAGTGCAGGAAGGTTCGCTGCCTTCATGTTCCACTTCACAACTCCCTGCTGAGAACCCCTGTGTAGGGTGTTCATCTAGATCAATGGTCCTGAAAGGGCTACCTGGTAAGAAAACCACTCTGTCTTTATGAGACCGTGCATTCTGGTTTCTGGGTAACTTTTGGACCTTATCTTTGGGCCATGGGTGACCTACCAAAATAGGAAAGAAATGATGAGAACTGGTGGGCAGTATGTGATTGCTTTTTATAAAGTTTTAGGGAGTGTGACTATTACATTCATTCCTACTATTGGGGCCACTTTGTCAAAAAAAAAAAAAGATGAGGAGGGCACGGTGCTGATGGAATTCCCCGGGAGGTAGGGGGGAATGGGGAAGAACTTAGCCAGTGGCAAGAAAAAGTGGTTCTGAGTCAAGGGGGTGCCATTCAGGTAAGCTGGATCTGCTTCCACCTTGTGGTCAAGTATCTTGTGTGTACTTTGTCTTTCACAGTTTATTTCTATCTGATCTTCCAGAGTCTCTAAAGCTCTCCTTTTCCCTTATTATCCCTGTGAGCATTGTTTTATTTTACAAGGTTTGTTTCCCAAAATGTAAGGTTTCTTCTTCTGCCTCTCGTTGCACCCTGCCCAAACATACAGTGTAGTTTACCTAAAGAACTGTAAGATCCTAGAATTTGAGTTAGGTAACTCAAATGGCTAAAACATACACATGTTCTCTGGAACCCTCATCCAACTGAGTCTGCATCCACAGTTTTCCTTTTACGGGCTCCGGAGTTTGCCATGTCTGTTACCTGTGTTTTTCCCGTTCACTTCGGGCTTTCACTCTTCTCCTCCTCTGTCTGAAGTCTACTTCTTCACTAAAGCTACTCACATGCCTCTTGTGTACTTTAAACTCCATTCAAAGTGTAAAATAATCCTAGAGGGTTATTTACTTCCCTTCCATTAGATTTTCTAGTGATCTGGTATCTTCCTCTTCTTTCAGATGTTCAGAGAATTTCAAGCTCTTACAAGGACAGATATTTATAAGAAAACAAGGCACATTCTGGAATCCTATTCAGAAAACATACTGACTTCTTTTCCAGCGGTGGACAACCCAATCAATGTTGCCTTGCAAGAAAAAATGAAACAGCACACAGATGAGGACACGCTGAAATGTTGGTAAACCTGAGCATGGCGTGATCTGGTCTCGGTTATCTGTGTGATTCAGGGTGATCGGAAAAGCTCTGTTTTGATAATACGTAAAATTTAGTGAAACAACATGTAGCAAAGAAAAAACTTCTCCAACAGGAGGTTTTGGGTATAAATATAAAAAGTCCATTTGGTACTATAAAACTGTATTTAGGGAACCAATAATCTGTTAATTTCATAACCTAAATCACAAGGTAAAGCTTGATAGAAATCACCCTGGCCGAGGGACAGATGATAGAATTCTTACCTTCTCCTGCCCCAGATCTAGGGGGGAAAACATGGGATCTTGAAAGTTTACCAGGTGGGGATGTTGGTTAAAAACCTTGTGAAACATTGAGCTGAGACAGCTAGTTCTTTGTAGAAGGTAGTAGTTTTAAAAAATCTACATGCTTTATACTGGCTTTGCTTACAAGTTAATAAAGGCTTATTTTTACTTGGACCGGAGCATGTTTGCTTTGACAGACATGAAGATGACGGCCACGTGTTTAGTCCTCCCAGACGTTTTTGGGGATGATCCCAGCCTTTTCGTCATTGTGAATGAGAAGGTATGCAATGTTTCAGTGATCACTGGTTTGACTTTTCACAGCTTCCTATTTGAAGGCAGGATGGTGCTCTATTTGAAAGTATGTTTTGTCATTTTTACAAATATATGCTAAATTGCAGCAAGATCATTCATTATAATAAAATAGTTAGATCCAGGCACCTTGCATTATTTCGTTATATTACACATCATACCATCTTTTCTTTTCAGGTACAAGTGTCTACACCTGTGTTAGAAGTTAAGAACCCTTTCGACATTGATGTCTGTGAATTTTCCTTGTATGTAGAAAAAGAGAGACTCTCCAAAGTGGATGACTGTGTCACGGCCTTGGCTGCTCTCGTTGCGGCCTTTCATGTGTTTGGGATCCAGTGTCCAGGACGACTGTCCCAAACCCTCAACTTCCTGGAAACACTGATTTTTGATATGCACAGTCCCTATTTCCCTTGTATGAAAGAGAAGGAGAAGGAAGTAGGATTTCAACATTCAGTCACCTAACAGCATGCCTAGTTATTCACCGATCAGAACTGATCTCGGGGACAGATGAAACTATAAAAAATTCTTTGAACTAGGGTTGTGGTAGATACTAGAAAATCATCGTGTCTCAAAGGTGTGAATAAATGTAATGCCTTCTGTCTTGAACCTTAGATACTTTGTGACAATCTGTAATAAAATACTACTTAATTGGAGAGCTGTTTGAGTTCTAAGGAATTCTATGGTGCAAGTTGCACTCTAATAGGTGCATTAGTTTTTAAAGGACACTACACTTCATATTTGCTCAGGACCTTTGGTTTAGGGGTATGACCTTGTGCTTAACTCAATATGCCCACCTTTGAAAGAATTAATGCCCAGGAACCACATATTTGGGGGCTGGGGGCTGCCTCCTTGGTCTGAACATTGCTTGGAAACATTTTGAACTTGGTATTTTTAGAAGATTCACAAACTCCCTGGTTCCTCTTTCCCCCAGCTGACCTGCGTGGCCTTGGAGTTTCCTTCAGTCACATTTGTGGAAACAAGGGCTGTTTCATTCCCGCAGGCCCCTCACTGCTGGCCAAACTCACTGGCACAGGGCTGATCCTCCGCCACCGGTGTCTGTCTGCCAGTTTCCCTCCTGAAACCTGTCTTTGTGTGTTGCTGCCTCTTTCCCTTGAACTGTACACCTTACCTTCCCACTGGTTCTTACCTTCCCACGTGGTTTCTGGTCTTCCCTGGCCTGGACCTCCAGCATTTGTTTCCCCTGGTTGCCCCTGAGGCTTGTTTGCAACTTCAGGGCGGACCTAGTTTTTCTCTCCCAGGGCCGCTTGGGCACCAGCTGCTAGCTTTCAGGAGCGGGCCCTTCTTAGGCCCACGCTCCAGCCTCTCTCAGGAGTTCTCGTCCTGGTTCCTCATCCAGCCCAGAGTCCCGTGTCCTCATTCATCCAAAAGCATGGTTTTAAGATGCCCCTTGATGTCACCGTCATGGTATCAATGTTACTTACCAGTTGTGATGGATCAGGTTGGTTTAGTGAAGATGCTTAAGTGTGTTACTACTTGCCACCCAATGTGATGAGCATTTTTGGATTACTTCATAAATCAATTTTTAAAAGGTTAAAAAGAATTCATGTAACTTACTGAAAAAAATGTGATAGCATACATCTCTAGAAATACTGCAAAACACTAATACCTTTCTTTGACCATTAAAATGCTTAAGTCAGCGAGATCAAAGAAACTGCAAGACAAACTGCCCACCTCTATCTACAGTGACTGTGTACTAACTACTTCCATGGGAATGGACAGGCAGAGTAAATAATAACTCGGTACATGTCATCTTCCAATGAACTAGCTCCTGTGCCAGTTTCCATCACTTCCCTTTCACTAGAATATGCCTTTGGTTCTTTACCAACTTTCCTTCATTTATCCCAATTACCCCCCAACACTTTTTATATTTCCCAATGTCCTATTTCTCCTCTTGCAGATGAATTTACCGAGTCTTAAAGATTCCTTTCCTTACAAGTTTCACAGTCTCCATGGCTGAAGCTGAATGAAAGCCTCTCTTTGTTCCTTAGGCTGGGGCCAAGGGAGGGGGTGGGTGTACGGGAAACGCAGCGAAGTCTGAACAGACAGGTGACCACGATGGCAGGTTCACATACGCATTATCACCTCTCTTCGTGGTGCATCTGTCTCCAGTGCCTGGCGTGGCCTGGCCACTTGGCAAACACTGCTGGACTGGCCTCGCCTGGTATTGTCTGGGGCTGACGCCCCTGAATCCAAGAGCTGCACAGTGGCAGCCTGGGCTGTCTCGATCTGCAGGCACTGCAGATTGTCTTGCCCAGTGTTCTCTGAAAAAAAAATGCCCTTAGTTGGAAAGGTCCTGCTAGCACATACCAACATGCTGCTTAGAACGAAATGTTTCCAGGAGGATTTAAGTCTCCTTCATTACACATGCTTTAAACCAGAAAGAAGAAATCCCCAGTGGGTGTAAACCCTATCTGACAGAAGAATATTATTTTTGAATTTTTTTGTCATTCTTCACATCCTCTGGAACACAGTGTGGCAAACAACCTGAACCCTGCAGTCACCCCACAGCGAGGTGACACCCACGTACACGGTTCCTGTTTGATATTGTTCCTGTTCTCCTTTGCCCCGCCTAGTTGACAAGCTTTTTTAAAAAATCAAACATGCGTAAAAAAGTATCTGCAATTAAGACTTTATTTCATTCATGTCAGATATAACAAGTGCAATTTGAATGTACAAATTCTTAGCAAAACTTAAAAAAAAGGGAATGAAAACTAACAAAAAATTTGTTTAAGCAGACTCATGCAAAGAAATGAACAGAACACTGCAGATGTCGCTGACCCTGTATTTACCTTTAATGATGACATATGCAAAAGGCTGCTAATAGACTTCCAAAGGGGACATCAAAGGAAATTCTACATCAGGAAAAACAGAGCAACTAAAGACACACAGAACCTTGCCATGAATTCAGACAGCATGCTGCAAACTTACTTCCTACTTTTAAAAAAGACCATCAATAAATGTTCAGTCTTGAAATTAGAAATTACATCCAAAAGCCAATAAAATAATTTACCTTTTTGCCAGAAACGCACACTTGCAAAAGAAACACTACCAGCTATCATTTTATGGGAAATCAAGGGCTTTCATTTAAAGTGCATCTGTATGCTTATACATTGAGGAGAACCCACAGAGAAAGGAATCTCTCCACAATGCAGGTTCTTGAATAACTGTTTTGGGAAGTCACCTCCCTGATCTGTGAGCACTCAGAATCTTTGTGTCTGCTGGTGGCGCTCTCTCACACCTTGCCTTCTCTGTGACACTGATACACTCTCTCTTCAGCCAGCCCTGCAGAACCTTTGGGTTTGCAGAGCAGAGCAAGATTGGAGACAGAGCTCTTGATGGATTAGTGTTTCTATGAACAGGACAAGCCCTTCACTGATCTCTGAAAATCACCCATTATCTCAAACAATTAGAGAGGCTCAAGATAATCTCATAAACAGTTTAAGATCCTTACAAACACCTCCCCCACTCACGTTAACTGCATATTCCATGATATCGCTGGACTCCACAAGAGTCCAACACACGCAGGGCATCAGAGTGTCTGAGACTGGTGCCACTTAAATACATCACCTAGTTTACTTATGTTCATATATTTTTTCAGTTCCATTATTTATATACACATTTTTGGTAATTATAATAAAGATGCTGGTGAAAGTAATTTGTTTAACATTTCATAATACGTGCAAAAGCAAAAACATAGATTTAAAGAAAAGTAATTTTTACAACTATTCGGCCTCAACAAACGATGACAAGCAGTTAGGCAATATCATGATTTGCAAAGTTATACTTGGCATAATGTTGCAATTCAAAATATGGCACAGAATTAATAATACAGATAACCAACCCACTGGCTAAACTTAGCCAGGTTTTGACTATTTTGGTTTAGGTTGAAATTTGATTATATAAAAAGATTCCTGAAAATACTGAAAAAGAAACAGTGTACATGAAAGAGAATTCATCAATGTTTACAAAATGCCAAAAGTTCATACTCTGTCCCATTAACCATAAATAATGAAGTTCCCCTTCACCTCCCACCCCCTAGCCTCAAAAAGATTTACAAAGATCAATTTAGCTCAGTGAACAGAACCGAAAGATGACTGTTGTTAGACAGTACCTGGTTAAAAGCTCAAGCACTTTCGTAAGAATTCATATTGTCTCTGGAGGAATATAAATAATCTGATCGCATTGCTCTGTTGAGTTTTGGAGACTTCTCACTTAGGAGTTATAATTGTCCTTGTGCTTTGAATAAAACATGAGCTTTAAAGCAGAAAGCTGATGGTACTCAAAATTCACCACTTTCAAAGTTCATTGTGAGAGTTCTTCTCTGCAGCCTTGAACATCAGGATAGAATTGAAAATTTTGAGAGCAGGGCCCAGCTTAATGCTCATAATTTTAACAATGTCTGTCTGTGTCATAAGCAGAAACGCTTCTCCATCAATTTGCTGAAATGGGAGAAAAGGACAAAAGATTGTGAATTAACCCAATGTAGTGTCGTGGGAAATATTCAAAGTTAAATTATCTGCTGTCTCACACACAGCAACACTAAAACAGCACAGGTAGGGGTTTGTGTATACAAACGACACTTCCTGACAAACGGATCTCATCTACAACACCACCCCAAATGGGGACTGGGAGCAAAGCAAAGACTCATTCGGTCATCTGAAAAATCAGCTCACAGGAAAGGGGGAGGCACCCACCCCTTCCAGTGATTCCTCTTACTTAGGTGCTGACGCAAGAAGAATTTAGAAAAATGGGGGTACCTCAAATTCGGTTCCCCTCATGACAGGTTCTAGTCTAAAAATTAGAGATGAAAATAGGTACATAAATACTTGCAGCTCTAACAAAGAAATTTTAGGCAAACATATCAGCTACATGCATATATATTTATATATACTTATAAATATATATGTTTATATATAAATATATACACACATACATAAAATAGCCTTCTATGAATACCATGAAGAAAAATTATGATAACATTTCTAGAGTGGCTATAATTACTCTTCATATGCAGAACGGAAGCAAGTACTAATAAGGGCAATCAACAGTGTAGCTGGAAGAACACGAGACTGATGTTAAGAGCTGTGGACTCCAGGTTGGTCCTTCCTCTACTTGGGTAACTGTGAGGAACACCCCTTTCGCTCTGCAACTCTTCTGAGACTAAAAGTCTATGCTCCTGCAGAACAGCGTGCTGTGAGGTTCCGCGATACACCTCTATGAAGACGATGTCTAGTTTAGTGGGCAGAGCAAAGGAGTAGAGTCTTTTTACATGACTTTCAGCTCTTGGGGAGTTCTACCACCTTAAAACAATCAATGCACTTCTTTTTCAGTTTTATCATTTGTAGATCACATGTTTGTTTTTGCCTCAGAGTATGCTGGAAACACTGACAGCAATGCACTATTATGGGTTGAACTGTATCCCTCCCAAATTCCTATGTTGAAGTCCTAACCACCACCCCCCCCCCGCAATATATGGTCTCATTAGGAAACAGGGTCACGGCACATGCAATTAGTTAAGAGGAGGTCATACTAGATTAGACTGGGCCTGGAATCCAACATGACTGGTGTCCTAATAAAAATGGGAAATTGGGGCACAGAGACAGACACCTATCGAGGGAAGACGGTCTGGAGACAACCACCACCATCTGCAGTCCGAGGAGGTCATTTTCCACAGCCCTTGCAATAAGAAACCTCCCTTGCCAAACACTTCTAGCCTCCAGGATTGGGCAACGATACATGTCTACTGTTGAAGCTATGCGTTCAAGGTATTCGTTACAGCAGCCCTAGCAAACAAATACTACTTACTCTCAATTCTGTAAGCAGTTCACTACTAGGTAAAGGCAGATATAATCAAGTAGCTGTTTCTTAAATTTTTCCTTTATCCTCAAAAAACCCCCTATGAAAACCTGTAAATCTAAACTGGCTATACACTTAATCAGCAAGAACCACAGTCATTTTATACCACTTTGATAACAATTATATAGGAAATTACTACTTCTCGACAATGAAACACACTGCTGTCTTTGAAGAGAAGGCAAGACATTCCGATGTTAATTTGAGTATAAGACATGTTAAGTGGCAGGTATGAGAAATGTTCCGCTGTGTTTTGGAGTCATTTGCTTGTGCCATGACAGCCCTCTGATAAAGCCAGGCCAAGCAGAGGGGCAGATCTAATAACACTTCACTCAACCAAGACAGGCCTTGGCAGAATGAATGACCTGAGAGAAACCTTCTAAATCATGAATGAAAATGTCAGCTACCAGCCCAGTTCCCAAGGAGCTCACTACAAAGACTGAATCGTTTTATTAATAACCGTGGGCTCTGTGGAATGTCCTGCTGAGACTGTGTCAGAGTTTAACGTGACAGATGACAGATGAAAAGGACCATTCAGAGCACAGTAAAGCTAGGATCTGAAAGCTAGGTGTGGAACAAAGTTCTGGTAGATCATTGTATTTACGGTCACACTGGAAAGGAAAAGAAAATCACCTGAGGCGAGTGCCAGTCTGTGACATGCGGGCTGCTCTGACGCAAGGCCACAGGACGGACCTCCACGGGGAGGAAGCAAACTTAACTGAGCAAAGCACTTTCTAAGAACCGTGATCACTGCAGCATGTCACTGGGTTAATTTTTGTTTGTCATTTTTGTAGTACATATTATAAAAAAGGCAAGAAGGAGGACTTGGAGGCTGGGGGGCTCCCACCTCACAAAGGTCTTTTCTGATGCTTTCACGCTGCAAACCACTGCAGCAGGCTCTTTGAGTGCCCTTCTCAGAATGTAAAAATGTGAGTACGTTCACACACTAAAAACTTAGTAAACATCTATTATGTTCCAAACACTCTTCTTGGGCGTGGACACACAGCAAAGGAAAAAAACAGACCACAAAAACAAGCAAATAAGCAAATAAAAGTGCCTCATGGAGTTTATATTCTAGTAGTGGGAGATGGACTGTAAGCAAAAAACATGACAAATAAGAAAATTAATTAATAAGTAATTGATAATAATTAATTCTAAAAGGTGGTTAGTGCTGTGGGGAAAAAACCCAGCTGGCTGAGGACTGGGCAGCTGGGATGGAAATTAACCGAGAGTGGTTCACAAAGGCACTTACGAGGAAGAAAAGAAACTCAAAATGTGAATAATTTCCAATTAGATCAACCAGAGAGAAGATAAACCATTCAGAAGAACCAGAGAAATCAGAGAAATGATGTTGAAAATCAGATCCCTGTGCGTTTTAACAGGCATCCATCTAAAGCACACAGGAGATCTGAGCGGGTAATGACACTGGAGACCAGAACCCAGCCTCGGCTCTCCTGACACGCCTGCGATGCTCCGAATTGAGGGGTGTGATTCTCAGCAGTTGAGGGTAAACACAGGAGCAAACGAACAGGTTGTACACACTTATAAACCAGAGACGGCAGATGGTGGAGGAAAGCCTTCTCCGATTGAGATCTGAGGGCTGACTGACTGCTCTGCTTGGAGGAGCCGCAGGGGAGCCTGCATTACTTCCAGGCTGGCAGAGCCCGGGCTCCTCGTTTTCAGGCTCCATAGAGGTGATATTGTTATCCATCACCCGTCACACTGAAGTTCTGGACAGGCAGACGAAAACAACTAAAAAGGAATTTTCCAATAGCTGACTGTAATGAGTATCGCTTATTATAAACATTACTGCTAAATATATAAGATCTGAAGGATCATTTTAATAAGGATGATAATAGGACATATAAGCATCAAATGGATTAGTTAATCTTGGTGCCATTAAAACTATGTTTGAAAATAAGATAATGGGAATCAATTTCCTTGTATTAGAAATAAACTGTTATTTCCTTTTTTGGTTCCTTTCTCTGCTGTAACTACATAGATGCATGTTATTAAGTTTTACGTTCCTTTTTATTTATTTTTTTAAAAATAATGAGTCTAGTGCGATTGCTTTGGGGCATCATAAAGTGGTACGAACATTTCCTTTGCTCTAATCTCACACAAAGACATTTTTATACAACTTACTAATGCTGCTTGTTAGACAACCATCGATTTGTCAATTACAACAGAACCCCTCCTCTTCCCTTCTCTGCCAAGGCAGAAATTTCACCCTTCGCTGCATTTCGGTGCTTTGACCCCATTAAATTACATACTGCAATGTAGTGGAACACTTACTTCATCCTTAAATACCTTTCCATGTTCTTCACACCCAGGTAAGCTCTGGATGAATTCTGATACCTGGCAAAAATAAGATAAAAATTCCAGTTTAAAAGTAAGTCAGAATCTCCATGCTCAAACAGGCTCAAAACGTCTAACTTATGTGTTTTAGTTGTTTCTCTCAGGATAACTTCTCATCTTTCAGGAGAAGACTATCCTACCCCCACCCCCACTAATGCAGTCGCTCCTCCAGCCAGCAGCACTCCTGCATCTGGTCCTTGGCGGACACAGACAATAAAATATACCTCGTCCGTGCTCCATTTGGACACTTTGCTGGCAGGGATTCCAGCTACAGTTGGCAGGAGTTTGCTCTGCTGCTCCCAGCGCAAGGGCAGACATGGAATTGGGGACTTAAAGGACAGAAAGACAGCTGACCGACGCTGTGCCTGCTGGACGCTGGGCTCTTCCCGGGCACCTGGTTGATTGAAAACAAATGGAAAATTACTCTCAGAAAAGCAGCAAAAAAGCCCCCAAAGCCATGCATCTCCCCCATATAATGGGCACTGGTTCATTTCACCACTATAGTCCTTGAATAACTATACTCTCCTGTGTCTTCACTGAAGGTCACCTGAAGGTGACCAGAAGACACAATCTGTAAATGTGACTACATGCTTGCTACATCACCCACTGAAGACATTTGTCATTCTATCACTCAATGTTTCAGGTAAGAAATTTCCCTTAGAGCTTAATGGCAAGGAAAATAACTCTCAGCTTAGGAAACTGTATTTATGTCCCTTGATTTCCTTTCAGTTTTGGATGCTCAAGTTTGGCCACTGTGTGTGCCCTGCTCTCTTCTTTTATCTCAGCCCTGTTTTGGCCTTTCAATATTAATCACATTGACTTCTGAAATAGCCAGCTAAACTTTTTTGAAATGGGACATTATTGCAATAAAAACAACAGGAAGGGAAATGCTTTTGTCATTTTTCATTTGTGGAGATCAAAATTAAACTACAGAATATTCTATTTATCTGTAAGATCTTCTGAATCCAAGCCTAGTTTACTATTGCTCTTCTGAAAGAGCCATTTTTTGGCAAATGATTTTATGTCCTTGGGACTCTTAAGAGTTTGTGAATAATGATCTCCTTAAGGTCCTTTAGAACAAAAATCTTTTCTGGAAACTTACTTAAAGCCCACGAGAAGAAAGGCACCTTCCTCACATATATTCTCCCCCTCACACCAGCTCAGCTACAATGCTGATTCAACAGAAAGGAGAAAGGACTCATGGACAACAGTGTGGTGACTGCTGGGGGAAAGACTACACGGGGACTAAATGTTAATGGGAAAAAAAGGTTGAATTAATAAGAAGAAACTTTGCAATACATTACAATGAGAAACAGTACAGTGCACAGCCATAATATTCATTATGTTTATAAACACATCAATCTACTCAGACTAATTATTCAATCAAATAATCACAATCAATTTTTCTCTAAAAGCCTTTAGTGAAACATATACATACATAACAGAGAGACAGACACAGCACCTTCAGGTCATCCAGAGGAGGCATAAGGATCAGGATGTTTTATTAGAAAGGAGGTCTGACAGAAAACCTTTTTATGCCAAATTAGGAGATCAAAGCCCATGCAGAAATCAGACCAGGGCCAGCTAAAATACAGATCAGCCCTAGAATACAGTACTGGCCCTACAAGCCATGAGATGCTACAGGGTATGGGGACTGTACTGCCAGGATCTTGTTTGACCTTCCGATTTCAAATACTCACTCCCTGTGCAGGATCTGCACTTGCACGCCACCATGAGTATCAGCAGAATGGTCTGGACTGCTCAGACTGCACCTTCCAGTGTGATAAAAAAGAATGTCTCCCATCTTGACTGGTGTGACTCCGTGGACTGAGCACTGGCCTGAGACAAAAGGGTTGCCAGTTCGATTCCCAGCCAGTGCATATGCCTGGCTTATGGTCCAGGTCCTCAGTTAGGGGTGCATGAGAGGCAACCATACATTGATGGGTTTTTTTGCCCTTTCTTTCTTCCCTTCCCTTTCTCTAAAAGTAAATAAAATCTTTTTTTTAAAAAGTCTCCCACTCTTATCACCATCAAGCTAAAGTAACTAGAAAACACTTAATGTCTGAGAAAGCTTTGGGCAAAGTGTTTGCTGTCACCTGAAATAGGTCCTCCTGAGTTATTATCCTCTAATTCAGCAATTCCAAGTCTAAAAGGTCATTTTAAGGAAATACTTAAGCATGAATGCTAACAATCATCAATAAGAAAGTCACAGTTCTCTTCTAGGTACATAATTGTATCAAAAAAGAAGACTATGTGTTCCAGCTTCTCTTGCAGCTAGATGTGACCATATGACTAATGGGATATAAACAGAAGTGGTATCTGCAGCATCTTGGCAGTACCCTTAACAGGGTGAGAATACTTCATGTGCCTACCACCATTCCCTGCTCCTGCCCTCCCCTTCTTACTGAGTAGAATACTAATTGAATGACTAGTCTACCAGAACCACTGTTGAGCAAGATATAGCCTTGGGAATAAACACTGCAAAACAGAGCAACAAAGTAGATAGAACCTGATTTCCTGATACTGTTGAGTACCATTAATCCTGGAGTACCTACTTTTGAACTTCCTCTATGTGAGAGAAAAATAAACTCTCCTAAGCCACTTACATGTATTTTATGTCAGATATACACAAATCTAATTCTAACCACTACTAAGGTTTAAGGCAATAGTGCTTGTAATAGTGAGAGAGAGAAAACAACTAGTTTTGATAATCAATAGATTGATTCATTTAATGACACTATACCTATCCAGAGGCAAAATTTAATATTATTTTATAATTAGCATGAATATTTATGCAAAATGCATACAATATTATATAGCTAAAAACTGCAGGTTAGAGTAGTTTGTATAATATTTCATATATAAATTCTCCAAAAATTAGATACTAAAATTCAGATAACTTATTTCAGAAAATAAATTACAGGTAATTTTAATTTTCTTGTTAATTCTCCATATTTGCAAATTATTCTAAAATAAATGTGTTTTAAATAAAATTTATTAAAACATAAAACCAGGAGCTGATATAAATAAACTCCTTATTGCTACTCAAAAATAAAAAAATAGAAGCCTCAATTTATGACTTGGAAAGCAATTAATGCACTTTTGGAATTAAAAGATCATTAATTTCTGGGCTTCTTTAATATCAGAAACAAGGAAATATTAAGTGGGAGTAGTGTTGAGAGAGAGGACTTTGTGGATCTTGGTATGGCTTCATTGCTATTCTGTCTCTGTGAACAATTATCGAATGAATTTGGGTCCCTACGCTGACGCTTGCAGAATGGACAGTCTGCCTCTAATGTCTGTGATTACTATTTACTACAAGGAAATTGTTCATTTGCGATCATTCATTCAGCACTCACAAAGCATCAGAAACTGTGGAAGACTGTGTCGATGCAGCGTTCGTATCTTTACAGACTTTCTTGATATAAAGTAGATAATAATGTGGTTTTTCCCAAGCAGAAATTGGTAAATACAAACTTGCTCACCACGCTGTCTCTCAATTCTGGTTGAGAGAACAGGTATTAAAATTCTTGTTTAGCTTAGGGTTAGGAAAAAGACAAGTGAAAGAGCAACTCTTACAATTCAACATTTCTGATACAGGTGATCCTGAAAGAAAAAGCCGCCCATTGTAGAATCTTTGTTAGCTTTGATTACTGTAGAATCAAGACAGTAAGTCTTCAGTGCAAGGAACACCATCCAAAGCGAACATGAAGTCTCTCCATAGAAAAATGTCCTCACCACCACAGAGGAAGACAACCTGCTTCCCCCAGCACAGCTCCGAATGGGGGGCCCAGCAGAAGCACTGCGTGGTGGGCTGCCCGCGCAGCAGAAGTGCCAGAGGAAAGGAGAAGTACCCATCCTGTTCCCTGCTCTGTTCAGACTCACATCTCACTTTGCTTCCTATTTCCAAGTGGGAACAATGTGAAATGGACCAGCCACAGCATCAGTAACTGCTGACCTCTTCTCGTGACTCATTACCATCCTTTTAAGCCAGTGATAGAAATGAAACCAGAATGTCTAACTGCCTTGTTTCATTTTAGTTTCAAAACAATACTCAGAGGCAGCTTTCCCCCAAAGTGAGGAAATTGAGGCTGGACATGCACAAAGCCATACTGTGAGACAGGCATCAGAATATGACTCTGGATCTTTAGCCTGCTAATACAAAGTAATGGGATCACGGCCAAGAGGGTGAGTTCAGGAGTCCATAGATTCAAATCCCTGCTCTGTCACTAACTCTATAATTTGGCTTAGTCAATGTAATAAGACTGTTGCAAAAATTACATAATATTGTTAAAGTGCTTATCCCAATGCCTGACATACAGTGAAGACTCAGCAAATGGGAGAAAGGCCCATCACACAAAGGCCCAAAGCGCATTGTGTGTTACAAAGGCAAAAATGAAAATGAGTCAATCAGTAACCCTTTAAGGTTAATAGTCCAAGAGCCTAAAAATATGCTCTCCATGTAGAAGAAAAGAAAGCCAGAAGAAATGGGATCCACTGGTCAACTAAAAAAAAATTAATAGGAGTTACTTACTGGTGACTAACTATAAAAGGATGAACAATAACAGTGATTGGGTAAAATAAATGGATCGGAGCATTAAAAAACATAAGTAAAATTAGCTCCAAGATACTTAACTCAGGCATGAAAGATATTTGAAGACCACTTCGAGGGTAACAACCAAAATAAAAAACTCCTATGGAGATAAAAAACAAACCTGATTTTTCAAGGGAGAATCTAGTACATTTACAAAATGGAATTCAACTCTTTCTGTGTATCAGCCTCCCATGACAGAGAGTGCATTCATGAGAGAGAAAACAAAACTATACTTTTCCCAAGAATTAGAGTTTAAATTTGAGGAACAAGCCAACGTAGGAATTTAAAGGAAGGTATAAACGACGACTGTAAAAATTCATCTTAAAGTTAGTGAACAGTAGATCTGACAGAGCAAGAGGCTGAGGAAGATATTTCAACTTGAGAAACATCTAGAACATCACAAAATATATAGCTGTTAAAATATCACCCTTGTAGTACTTCCCTAAGACCTAGCAACTAAGGGTGACTCATGGTCCAGCTGGCAGCTTCCAAAATCTGCTCCAGAACTAAGAGCAGTGTTTGTTTAATTTTTCCATGTAGTGTTGGCTGCCAAACCAACTGTTACATATTTTGAATGTCATCGCTTGGCTTGAACCCAAGAATAATAGGTATTACCAGTCAGAAAAAGAGAACAAATGGAGCAGAAGTAATCATCAAAATTTTAACTGAGGGAAGTTTCCTGGATCTGAAAAAAAAAAAAAATCAGGAGCTCATGACAACTCAGACAAAATTATGAAAAAAGACTGAGTTTGGGAACCAGGTTCACTGCTTGCAATTGAAAAGATCAGACTGAATTAGGTTACCTTGTTTTCCCGTTTTGTTTTATTTTTCTTAAAGGAAAACCAGAGACCAAACCATGGGGGTGGGGTGGAGGGAGCATGAGGAGGGGGAGTGGTGGATACTGTGGGTGCCACTCAAATTGCCCTTCAGAACTAGAATGTTCATTCCCGAAGTACAGGCTCAGAGGCCTGGTTCTCTCGCTTTAATTCAGGGTTATCACCCTGAGCTCCTCATGGGACTGACTGAGGCCTCTGTTAGAACTAGATCACAGCTCACCTTTTCATTCTGCTCAGTCCTGCCTCTCACTCTCTCATAGGTGCTGTTCCCAGGGGGCCTCAGGAAACCTGCGCACAACACTCTCGGTGTTTCCCGAGAGCCCAGTCTAAGACAGCAGCAGGCCATGGCTCTGTTGGGAACAGAGGTGGGGGACAGAAAAAAACCGAACACCTCCACCTATAAACTCGGATCCAAGCTAATGTCACCAAGACACCGTAGAAGAGTTCTCAGACTCCACAAGAGCTTGTTTTGAACTGAGGGTCTATGGGGTCCAGGGACAAACAAGTAATAAACTATGGTAATGTCAGAAAGTAAAATCCAAATCTTTTCCAGACAAAATAAAACTGAAAAAAATTTTCAAAAAAAAAAAGGTAATTTAAAACTAAGAAAGAAGTTAAATGAAAGCTAACAAGGGTGACACAATTCCACCACGGATAAAATTAATTTATAAAAATTTTATACAAAGTATTTCAAAAGATGAAATATTTCAAAAGAAAGTTATCAAACACATTTTCGGAGTCTAAAACTGGCTAAATCTCATTTAGAAAATTCTTAAAGCAACTTATTTTATGCAGTTCCCTTTCACTAGCAGAAAAAATAGGGCAGTAGTAAAGTATGCAAGTTGACCTTTCTGGGTGAGATAAATAATTTAAAATTATATATAAATCCCAGCGATGTTTCCAGAATAAAAAAGAATAGAAGAAATAATAATAAACAAAAAGAATAATAAGATAAAAACTCAGGCTATTTGAATCAAGAAAAATAGAATAAAAAATACACAAAATTGGAAAAGCCAAAACTACCACAAAAAAAGAACACCTTTCAAATCATGTTAGTAAACCTGAAATTCTCCATTAAATACATTGTTTTCAGGAAAAAATGATCAAAATCAGCTCAGCAAAGAAAAGCTGAATAGATCACCAAGTCAGAAAGAGAAGCTACAAGGGTTATCAAATTAATACTTCAAAAAGTTCAGAGTCTACATGAGTACAGAGAGTAAACTGATGGTGTCTTTCCAAAGGAAGTGTGGCAGGGCAAAGGGCAAAAAGGAGACTGACAGGTACACATTTGCAGTTATAAAATAATAAAATCACGGGGATACAATGTGCAGCATAGGGAATAGAGTCACTAAGATCATAACAGACGTATTATGTAATGTATATACAGGTATTTACTGTGATCGATAGCTGAAACTAGTATGTTGTATGTGAAGAATAGTTTAATAAAATAAAAGTTACTCAACCATAACGAAGCCAATGAAAACAAAATGAGAGAAGTTCAGAGTCTAGAAGATTTTGCTCTGAATCTACCTGAACTTTCTATAGTCAGTCAACTCCATTCAACAGACAGTTATTCCACACTACTGCTGCTGCTACCACTACTAATGCAGCTTTGGCCACTGGTGCATCTAATCCTCAGGATAACCCAATGATTATCATGACAATCCAGGCACTATTGCTACATCAACTCTACAAAACAGAGGAGGAAACTCTGCCCAAAGCCAGCCGCACACTCAATTGGTAGAGCTGAGATGAGAATGAAAGCTGTGCTCCAAACCACCACTCACAAAAACGGGATGCAGCCTTTATTTAAGAACACAATGTATCTTGATGATAAAAAACCTTCATAAATTAGAGGTGTTTTTCTTCCTTTCTAAATACCAGGAACATTTAAAATAATCACATACTTGCATAACAACTGCCTATGTGCAAGGCATTGTTCTAAGCAAGTTACAAATGTTGCTGCACTTGATCCCCATAAGAAGCCTCTGAGGAGTGGCCATCACCACCCTTCTGGACGGACCAGGAAGCGGAAGCACTGAGAGGCGCTCCATGAGATGCCCAAGGTCACAGCCAGCAGGCGGCAGAGCTGGATGAGAACCCTGGCCACCTGGCGGGTTTGTATACAGTGCTACATTAAATACCACGAAACATACTGAAGACAGCAGTGGCTAGAACTTTTAAATTAATCTTAAATTACTGCTTTATGAAAATCAGATATGAAAGTCAAAGCATTCCTTATGGTATAGTTTATTACAGGCAGACAATTATTAGGTGCCGTTCACAAATCTTATGTGATAATCTGAACCAAAAAATGCACACGAAGAGCAAAGGCCCTAGGGACAATCATTAAATCGTAATCAGGCCAACACTTTCTTATAAAAAATAAATAATAATTATAGAGCTGTGGATAAATTATAAATACAATCTATACTATGATTAACAGTAATTATGACTTTGCTGCTTAGCTAAACCACTGCAGGACATTGTTAGCAACGATGTTAAAACCCATTACTTTCTCCAATACAACTAAAAACATTCATGTGCTTTTCTGTTCATCTGTGGTATTGAATGAAAACCATATTAATTGTATTTGGATCTCAATAGATGAGTTTAAAAAGTGTAAAGCAAGTGGCATCAATAATACCAAAGAAAATGTATGACAAAGACCAAATAGAGTATCTTACCCAAACTTTACATATGACATGAGACACATGTGTGAAAGAGACTGTAAGCACAGGTAAATCTGTATCATGATGAAATACATACTACCTTTACCCTTATTAAACTTTACTGTCTGTGATAATAGAACAGACAACCAAATGAAGTTTATCTTTAACATAAAGACGGCCAAATCCAGTTAAGTGCTGATTGCTGAGTCTGACTAGTAATATCCACCAATGAGATTACGCCTACCTCTGGCTTCATGTGGTGTCTTCACTTCATTTTCTGTTCTCTCTTCAAGGTCTTCTTTGACATCATCAGCATGCTGGTCTCTGGAAAAAAAAAACAACAGGCATTTCAATGTTTTGTAATAAAAACATCTTTAAAAACTGGTTTAGCGCTGCATCTCAACTACTTTTTTAAAATTTAAAAACAAATCGTACCCCTAAAATGTCAGAACATTTAGTTCTACTACGAAGCAATGAATGCTAATAACATCTAAATGTCCATTTCCTCCTTATCAATTTTCATTCACTGGTCAGAAAAGATATTTTAAAGCTAAAAATGGTATTAAGATTATCCTGACAAATGTAGCTATTGAATAATTCAACTTCAAATCGAGACATGTATTCATGAGGAATTTCACTTGATAAGACGATTTGAAGTGAGAAAATGCTTTGAAAGTCCACACCACTTAATCAATTCACTGCACAATGCAGCTCCAGGACCTGGGGTCGAGGCTGAGGTTGGCTCGGGAGAATCAAACTCAATTCCAGGAAGCTCTGCCTGGCTTAATCAGGTCAAATTCACAGGCTGAAACGATTCCACCTCTTTGTGACCAAGAAGAATTTAATGCTAATTTAAACATGACAAGGATGCTCTAAAATGGAATGGACTTATTACAATCTTACTTCAGTTTTACCCTTAAGTCAGGGACAAAACTGGCTTTAAAGAGAACCAGGCAAGCTACTCATATTTTCTTTTTTTAAAATTAAATTTATTGGGGTGACATTGGTTTACAGAATCATATAGGTTTCAAGTAGACATTTCTATGATATGTGATCTGTACATTCATTGGGTGCCCACCACTCAAAGTCAAGTCAGATGATTTGACTTTGGGTGGTCGGTACTTATATTTTCTTTAAAGTTAAATTTCAGGGAACTTAACATTTTCAACCTAATCTATTCCATTTTCAGAGTTCAAAATAAATTTCCCTTTGTAATTTCCTGGGGCTGTCTAGGTTATGATGCTGGCCTACACACCTCAGTGCTTTATAACATGCTGTATTCATGTTCTGCTGTTTCATAGGTGTTGATGCCTTTAACAAATACACCCTGAGTTTCTTGAAGACCCAGACACACTTCCTGTAGTTTTTTTTAAAAAGGGCAAATACATTTGAAACCAAATATCCCAACAAAATAAAAAGGAATTTTACAGTCTTAATTATAAAGGCATTAGTTTATTCTCTAATAATGTAACACAACGATGCTAAGAGACTAAGCATGCAATAAACGTTCCCTTCTTAGCAAGACCGTTTCCGGGGACACATGAAATTTCACTGGAATCTGAGCTCTCTGGCTTAGTCATACTGAAAACAACTTATAACAACTGCAGAAGAATACTTGCTTACTTAATAATGGGAAAGAAATGACTGTTTTATGCAATAAAAATATTTTCCCCAAGAGAAACCAATTAAATGACCATGAAGGCTCTCATTCCGTAGTAAAAATAGAGGTATAGTGAAAACGAATATAAGAAAATCACTGATAACTGGAAGAACATCAGTTGAGATGATAATAGAAAACTATGCCTTCTTTGTAAAACCAGTGCTGAAATAGATTTGGTAATTTCACGCTAAAATCGGCTTAATACGCCAAAATTAGCTTATGTGATTTTCTGAACTTGTTTTATATTAAATTGGAAATAATATTCTTTGAATCCAAATGATATTCTTTAGACAAAAGGCTAAAACAGTTTTAGAATTTTTTGTATATTTCAGTTTTATGATCAGAATTGTCCACGGAAAACTTAAGTTACATTTTTGCAGTTTTATTAAGGTGTACAATTCCTTTACAGTAACATTGATTAAAAGAAAGGCATGAGACTTAAGGGTGAGGAAAGCTCTTTTGTATCTATGCCCAAATACAATGCCACTGAGTTATTTTATAACATATAAGAGAAAGACCATTTTCTGGGAGGGAAGTCACAGACAAGGAAAATGAGATCTTTGCTCCAAAACACTGCTTCGTGCCTGGGTCTGCCATAATCCATCCCAAAACAAAAGCACAAGGAAAGCTACCTGCTCTTACATTTATATTGCTGCATTACTGAAGCATGCTCTGTTTTTACTTTCCCCATTTTAACTCACGGCATTTCATTAAATTGAGCCCATATAAACTCAGGAATATATAAACACAGATATTTATTTTTTACCAAATACAATGCAATAAAGGGCTCAGTATGAAATGTGTACTGAATGTCTGATTCCCAATTAATATATGGGTTCTGCTAATTCCTTCAAAGTGACTAAACCTCTCGGAGTTTCACATGGTGTTTGGGCAGGGTGCATCTGAGCAGGGTGTCAGAACAGAACCACTCAGGTGAGCAGGATCCTAATCAACACATCCAGAAGTGTGGAGGCAGTCAACAGTAAGAAAAGTTAACATTCTGAACACACGCTACACTCCAAACTTACTGAGCTCTTCACATGTACAATATTTAATGGCAATTTACAGGGCAGGTACAGTACCAGGTCTTACTAATGCCAAAATCCACAATTAGATTCAGTGATTATTTGGTTTTTATCCTTGTGTTTTTCCAGAATATAGTACGTATCCTTGTTACGTGAAGTTAAAGAGAATGTGCCTTTTGTGCTATAATCTTATTTTCAAATTGCCTTTTGATAAGGTCGGGAATGAAGAATCTGACTCACTAGTCTTACTTGTTTTATATTTTATTTAAAGTAAAAAATTCCTCAATTGGACAACCAGTACTTCTCTCTCCTGTAAGTTAGGACTTTCACTGCCAGTTCTATTTGAATATGTACTGTGATGGATTTCTTTCTCCATGCAAAAATGAAATCCTTGGTCTCACATTCCAACTTCCTCAGCAAAAGTTATTCTAGCAGCACCATTTCCAAACACAGACAAAAGATGTTTACATCAGAATGTCAAATCTCCAGGATAATATTATAAACATTCTGCAACACAGTACAAGATAGGCTTCTTGACAGATTTTTTTTCCAAAAAATGGCAACCAAAAATATTTTAAGTTGTATTTTGATATTATAATTTTGCTCTACATAAAAACTTCATCTTTTCCTGATCAACATTTTTCATTGCCAACAATTCCACTCAGAACGGTGAACACAAGCTGAGGAGGCACAGGGACAGTGAATTATAATATGGAAAAAGCAGCCCAGCAGTGGTTATCCATGTGAGCTTTTTTGAAAAAAGATTTTATTTATTTTCTAGAGAGAAAGGAAGGGAGGGAGAAGGAGAGGGAGAGAAACATTAATGTGTGGTTGCCTCTCACGCACCCTCCACTGGGGACCTGGCCCACAACCTAGGTTACATGTACTCATTGGGAATCGAACCAGCAACCCTTCGGTTGGCAGGCAGGCACTCCATCCACTGAGCCACACCAGCCAAGGCTATACGTACGGTCTTCAGAAGTGAACAGACCCTGCTCATGTTCCAGCTCTGCTACTTAATAGTTTCGTGTGACCTTCAGCAAGTTACTTAACTTCCCTAATTCATAACTGCATCTTCTCTAAGACAAGGATGTACAGATAAAATAATGTACAGATAAAGTGCTTAGCACACAGCCAAACACATAAACAGGGACATGATAAATGGCAGATATTACTATTTAAAATTATTTATATTTTAGGATAAAATCATCTACTCGTAACTTTTTAAGAGCCAGACTTCCGTCAGACTATCTGGTTATAATCCAGGTCTCCTACTTACCAGCTGTACAATGTGAAGAGAGAGGTTCTGTGTTTAGGATGGGGATGTAATAGTAACACCTACCCTACCATAAGGTGTTATGGGGATTAAATGAGCTAACACAGCTAAAAGCACCTTGAGAGAGTACCTGGAATACAGCAATTTCTCTTGGGATTTTAGAGACTTCGAGAACCACCTTATTTCAACATTTCTTTTGCTTGAATTGCAATGTAATCATAACTAAAATCTTACTTAAGAATATTGTTGAGGCTTTTAATTAAGACAGTGGAATCCACTCAAATGGAAAAAATCTATTCTTTATGAGTCAGCATTCTCTTTTCCTCTGTAATTATGTATCAGGCTTTAGATGTCTGACTACCTTACTCTAATTATGCTACGTGGAAAACATTAGCCAAACAAACATTAGAAGAGTAAATACATAGTAGCAGGATGGCATCTGAATGCAAACTGTATTTCTTTGGGTTTTTCTTTATTTTTCATCAAAAAGCAATCCCTAGCCAATTATGTTTCAATCAGATCTAATTTGTTAACAAAAATACTGAAACAATCAATGACTTTGCTTCACTGTATAGCTTTATGCCACCATCTCTAAATTCAACATGAGTTTTGGTCTGTCTCCTAATGGCTTTATATCACCCCTTTGCAGAATAGCTTGTTCTACTCTATCTCACCGAGGCTTCGTTAGAACTGAAAAGTACCTGAGCTCTCCAGTAACAAGAGGGGACACAGTGAATGTAGTGGGAGCTAGAAAACATGTAGCATTTTCTGTTCGGACATGAAAAGGACGTCTGTTTGCATGTCCCCAGCATTTCTTCCCCTTAACTCTGGGCTGAGGTCACGCTCAGGTAAAAGCCCAGAGAAGGAGAATCTCAGGGTTGTATGTTAGAGGAATTATAAAAAAGTACTTGAACTGTCCCTTACATTCCTCAGACAAATGGAGAAGGGACTGGGCTTGAACAGCTTCAAGACGAGGAGGTCACCATCTTTGGAAGGATTCAGAAAAAATGGCAGAACAGGTGCGATTAAAACTTTTAGGTCTATGGTTAACAGTCAAATAAAGACTTTTTAAAATTAAATTCCTTTGGAGATGATACATTAGCAACAGTTTTAATAGTGTTTTCATAAAACATGACCCAGGAGAGGTAAACATGCTTTACTATTTACTTATTGACTAAAAAAAAGACATTTTGATTAATAAGCCTATCAAATCATGGTTTAGCATAAGGAACATATGTTAGCAAAAAAGGGGGGGCATGTGAGAAAATACAGTGAGTTATCAAGATGCCAATAAAAAACAGTCCCAGAAACCTAGTCCAGCAATTAATTTAATCAATTCCTATAAAAGGAAAATCCCTAACCAGTAAAGTGAGATTTGGCAAATACAGACCACATCTGACTATCCATCTGACAAGTCGCCACAGGATCAGAGATTCAAATACCCAGCATATTTGCAAAAGGACTCAAGAAGGGGCATCTTAATGTGAAGCCGAGCTTCCCACCAAGATGCCCCGAGTCCTCCCAGGAGGCAGCCCCATCCTTGTCCTCTGTGTGCCGTTGGAATGTTGTCATTTCTCTGGTGCCATTCTCTGCATGGGCCAAGAGCTAACACAACCACAGTCTGGGAAGCACTGGTCTAACTGACAGAAGAGTGCAGGTTTCTGTGGGGGGGAATTATTACATCACTTAATAATTACCCCTCAGATGTCTAGTCTGGAGATCTTACAAAGCTGAGAAAGCAGGCAGTTTTACTGGAACAAAACAGAAGGTGATAGAGCCATGGCCTCTTAGGTTACATAACTGATGTGTCTTCTTTCAAGGCTGGTGGATGACTCAAGGTTGCCTAGCATCCTTACTGTGCCAGGTAGTGCACTCAGTGCTGGGAGGGTCTCAGGGAAGAACCAGAGAAGGTGTGGCCTCTGCTGCTATGGAGCTTGTCATCACCAGAGCACACAGGTTTTGAAGAAATATTTTCACGAAACTGTCCATAGCATCGGGTGCAGGACATGAAAGTATGGAGAATGAGGTGCCTGAGCTACCGCCTGGAGGACCAGATGAAGCTTCCCTGAGGGAATGACTCAACTTGAAGCCTGCAAGGTGAGAGAGAAACTAGGAGATGGTTCTAGGCAGAGAGAAAGGGATGTCCAAGGGCCAGGGTGGCTGCAGCATTAAATTTAAAGCCGAGCCTGGCAGAGATGAAGCTGGACAGTGAGGCAACGGCCGGGAGAACCCAGGACGTTGTAGGCCACGTTCAGACTAGGGTCTAAACTCCAGGAATTCCTGAATGCAGTCACTGAAAGTTTTAAGCAGGGACACTCCCAAACAAATTTTTTAAATGCAGACTTACAGGTTCTAGCCTGGAAGATCCTGGTGGGCTAGGCTTCCAAATCTGAATCTTTGAGATACCAAAGACTCTGATGGGAAGCCAAGTTTTGGGAACTGCTGCTGTGGAACGTTGGCTGTTCCCGAGTTTGTCCTGAGCAGGTGGGCTGGGAACTGGCCCTTACAGTAATGCTTACAGTATGAAAGGATTAGCATCGTCCTTGCACTGTTCATTTATTTATTATGTCAGCTGCCAGATCAAAAGCAACACTAGCACATTTCTCACACTGGAGGCTTTCGGGCACTTGAGGTTGGTGAGTGGGGTGGCGTGGCCAGTGCGGTCAGTGTCCGGTCCGTGTGCCCTGGCCATGCACGCCCACTGCAGCACTGAGCTGCCAACTCCCACCTGTCTCACCTGTTCTGCTTTTCTGTAGGATGAACCCGGGATCTGGCTGCATTGCCCGCTGTGCAGCAGGGTAGGTGTGCTGGGTATTAATGTGGCCTTCCTCCCTTAGCTTTACTCTGTGACTGGAGGGAACTGGTACTTAAATAGCTCAGCTGCCTCGCCGCTGCATGGGAAAACTGAAGTGTGTTTTACACAGACTCCCAGAGCTTTCCCAGCAGGACTGTGCTGCCATCCACAGTGGTGGCCAGTGTGGCCATGCAGCTTTTACTGCTGTTACCCCCCTTCTTCCCTGCCTCTTCCTCACTCCACCGCCACTAGGGGTGCATTCCTCACCTCCCACAGAAACCACCTGCAATCACATCTTTGCTTCCGGGCTGGCTTCTGGTGGTGCAAGTTCTTTCTCACTGTGTCAAAGTACATTAAAAAAAAACCCACGAGGCCTGACAACCAAATTTTAGTAAATTATTTAGAATGACTCGAAGAAAATGTATTACGTCCTGAGTGGGAAATTACAACCGTGTGAGCACCGTGTACGGGAAAAGAAGACAAGGTAATCTGATATGAAGAGAATCATCTTGTTTGAGTGCTCAATTCAGAGTTTAACCTAGGAACAGCCAAGAAATAGGCCGGCCTTTCTTTTGTTCCTCAGGGATAAAAGAAATACTGTAAAACAATGTAATCACAGTAATAAAAACTAACATTTATTGAGGGCTTATTACTTATTAGTCACTATTCTCAGAGCTTTGCACAGCTTACTAGTTCATTCTTAAGTCCAGGTGAAAGGAATCAGTAACCGACAAATGTCTTTACTTTGAAAATGAAAAAAAGAATTATAGCAAAGAAGTTTAAAATAAAAGAGTAAATAAAATCTGTGTTATTTTGAAAAATGGTTTTTTATGTATGCATAATGAAGTATTTATATTGGAATATCATGATGCCTGTAATAATTTTTTTTAAATATTTTATTATTTATTTATCTTTAGAGGGGAAGGGGGTGAAGGAGAGAGGGAGAGAAACATCAATGTATGGTTGCCTTTTGTGCGTCCCCTGCTGGGAACTGGCCTGCAGGGAACCAGCCTGCAACCCAGGCATGTGCCCTGACTGGGAATCAAACCGCGATCGTGTGGTTCACAGGCCCGTGCTCAATCCACTGAGCTACACCAGCCAGGGCTGTAATAATTTCTTTAAAATCCTTCAGCGTAAAAAAATGAAGAGAAAATCTCTTTCTACTAGAATGCTTCTAAACAACATTAATGTTATCACATAAATTACCTGATTTCAGGGGATGAAGAGACTTCATTTGTATCCATTCTTTTACTTCTCGGAAATGATGGACTAGCCGGAGGCATCTCCCCACTTAGGCGGTCGGGGAAAATTCGGTCTTTATTTAAATTGACTTCTGAGTAGGGACAGTTGGCAGCACTAAGTATTCAAAGAAAAAAAATATTCCCATTAGAAAACACTTCTCCCAAATAAAATGACAGGCTACAGAACATAAAATTCCAAGATTTAACTGAGTACGTTAAATGCATTTATGATACACATATGATTAAATAGTATGAAATACTGTCTTTAGAACGTAATTCGTTCTGTTTGTTCGTTTGGGGGGCTGGGGGGGGATGAAGAAGACAGAGGGGGTCACACAAACAGGGACGGAAGGAGACCTGGCCTCGGGTGAGGCGTGCAGGACGGGAGGTACAAATGATGTGCTGGAGAGTCACACACAACACACAATGGTGTCGTCACCCCACTACAGTTAACTGAAAAATACAACTTAAGTATATTTTGATAGAAAACATGTCTTTGAACTAGATTTTTAAAAGCAATGTGATGCAATCCTTGGAACTGAGTAACTGTCACCACAGGATTCCCTGTGTGTCCGCATTTCTGGGGACAATCATCAGTTCAGAGACAGAAACACTTAAGCCGTCACAGGAGGGCTGGTGACCGAGGCGAGGCGGGACAGGGAAGATTCAGGCACAGGCGGGTGGCCAGGATCTGCTCTCTACTGTGATCCTCCAAGCCCCAAATGTTCCATGCTGCTTAATTTCCTTTATAACACCGCCACCCTCAAAAGGAAGGCGTTTGCTCAAGCTTTGCTGTGTCCGGGTCTGGAAGCACACCTGATACTCTAAGAAGTAATCTCCACCTCCAGCTTCCCCTGCCCCTCCTATGAAAAATGAATAGAGGTCAGTGTGGATAATGTCCTGTTCTAGCTCACTTCCATCCGTGACCACTGGTTGGTCTCTCGGGTCCCATTTGGGGATCATTCCTATCATCCAGCGAAGAATATCCAGGTGGCGTACTGTTAATTAAACATTATGTCAGTACACCGCTATGCCTGGGCCTCAGCTTTCCAGGCTCCAGAACAACAGGAAATATCTGTGTATCAAAAACGACCCCCCCCAATTCTGCCTCTCTGGCCCCTCTGCTCCTAGGAAGCCTCCTGAAGTCTGGAACTGGTGTGGACCTTAGGTAAATTACACTATTAGTGTTTTCCATATTCTTTTCTTTACTTTAGGCGATAGGGGGAATGCTGATAATCACCCAGGAAGAATTTTTAAACAGTGCATTTGATATATTCTCCTGAGAGAAGAAGAGTGAAAATGCTCTTAAGTGACTCCGATAACAGCCGACAGCATTTATCACGTATATTGTGTAAGCAAAAATGCAATCTTCATTTTCTTTAACTACATGCTCCTGTACACTGATATCTATGCAAAAGTGGTAAATAACATGTGATTGTGTGTTGATATAAGTGTCTACAATGTTAACCCACTAATAACAAAACAGTAACTGGCAGTATTTATGAAGCGCTTATTACGTATCAAGCACAGTGCTAGGTGCTTGCACAAAGTGTTTTACTTAATCTGTACAACAACCTGCAAAAGGCTTTTCCTGTGACAAACTAAGGCTTAAAATGGTTAGGTAATTTCAGTCTTTAATTATTTCATTCATTTGTTCAACAAGTACTTAAAAAGTATCTATTACGTGCTAACTGCCTGTTTAGGCACTGGAAACACAGTGGAAAATAAGAAGAGATCTCTGCTCTCAGGGAGTCTGAGCTCTAGGGTGACACAGGTAACACACAATTCCACAAATAAGTAAGTTAGACAACTTTGGGAAGTGACAAATGCCACGAGAGAGAACTGGGGTTGTGATGGGGGGTGAGGAAAGGCCTGCCTCCCCCGGCCCAAATTTTAGCGGCAGCATTTGAGCAGTGCCCTCAGAGCCAAGAAGAAGCACACCCTCCCCACCCGTCAGCCCAGGGAAGAGCACCCCAGGAAATGGGGAGGCAGGGAAAGCAAGACCCCCAGGGCTGGAGTGAAGTGGGGCAGAGGGAGGGGCTGCACTGGGCCCGGACGCAGGCGGCAGAGGTATTTGCAGGGCCTGATGTGCCGCAGCCACGAGTTCACTGCGTTTGGCTTACAGTTCATTTGAAGTTCCTGGAGGGCCTTCAAATAAGGGATTAAATACGGTTTGAGTTACAATTTAAAACAATCACCTAGGATGCTTTGGGAGAGATTTCAAGGGTACAGAACTGAAGCAAGAAACATGCCTTAATAGTAAAGACAGGACAACGGTGACTTGGATTTGGGTGGCTTAAATGGAGTGAAGAGGATCACCAAGGTGCCTTTTTGCATCCCTCCCAGGGGACATGGAGATAAACAAGCTCTGGGGAACGATATAAAGGAAGGGTTTAAGAATGGCCTTCAGGGTTTGGCTTGAAGAACTCAGAGGTAATAAGAATACCATTTTCCCCCTGAGATGAGAATGAACAAAGAGATGGAAACTGGGGGACATGAGAATTGTGGAATGTTCATCAGATATCCAAGCAGAGATGTTGCTGGCCCACAGTAACACGGTGATGAAGTAGCTCAGCTAAATGAGCACACTCTTATTCATCTTATTCAGGTTTCTTTTTTGTTTATTTTTTATTGTTTATTCTATTACAGGTGTCCCTGTTTTTTTCTACTTCTGCCCACCTTTACCCGGCCCCACCGGCTCCTCTCCCTCCGTAAATCCCCGTATCAATGTCTGTGTCCATGGGTTACGCACACATGTTCTCTGGCTAATCCCTTCGCCATCTTTCATCCAGTCCTCCCCACACTCCCTACAGAAGCGAAGCTGCATGAAAGAGACTGATACACTCTTATTTCATTCAGTAATGATGCGGACTCTCTGAATATTCACCCTTCCAAAGCTTCATGAGACCTTTCATGGGATATCTGCATCTATCAGTATTCACAGGTATCAGTGACAAAAACCAATGCTGACTGAGTTGAGCAGAAATGAACTTGCTGCAAGAGCATCAGACAGCTGAAGAGGAAGACTGGACAATCAGGCTTGGGCAGGCAGCAGGGACCGGCCCACACCCGCCCCCACAAATGCCCACAGGGGGCTGCTGCTGGGGGCACGACACTCGCCCCGACGCCAGGACCCTCAGCCACTTGCACATCCACACCCTCAATTCCGAAGAGGCTGCCAACACGTCTGACCTGTCTTCACATCACTCCTCAGGACCGAGGCCCAGACGGCAGCAAGTGCTCGGCTGCGCCAGGGTCCCCCGTCCCCACTGTAGCTGCCACAGGCCCGAGGAGGGGGACAGGCCCGTCTGCAGTGGACCCCCTGGGGGAGGTGGAGCCCACATTGCTGGTCTGGATTTCAGGCGAAATACAAATGTCCTAGGGTGGCCTCCTAATAAACTGTTTGAAACCAAATTCACCATCGGCAACAAACTTCCCTCCCACCCCCAACAAATAGGGTAAAAATACCATTAGTCCCCCCGCCCCGCTGTTCCTGATTCTGTTTCTGACAAAGAAAAGGTATTAAAACCAAGCCTCAGATCAAACCATCCTAAAGACTATTCGATTCTTTTCTTCTCATATTGTTATTTCTATTGTGAGTCTGTCTGGTTGCATTTCTTTTTTTTGACAGTAGGGAAAATATCCAAATAATTTTTTTTGTTTCATTTGACAGGATGCTGCTATCTCTAGAATATTGCATCCATCATATGTTTTACTCAGCATTAAACACCTGGCTTTACAATTACCGAATAACTGTAAGTTACTTTGGAATTTTATTGGACATGAAGAAAACGAGAGTCCTGTTCCTAACCCCACCCCACGCCCCCTCTGGGAACTCTCACGGGATTCTGATGAGGGCTCGGTCCCGAGCTGCGCACTAAGACAGCGCCTCTCCTATTCGTTCAGTAAGTCACGGAAGACTATGTCCCTGCAGATCACGATATGTAAGTGTGGACAGCTCCGAGGGAGGCAAGACTGAGACTTGGTGCCTCAGTATCCTGCTCAGAGGCATTTGAAACTCTCAACCTGAAGTAGGGGAGAGAGTCCCAGCCCTCCAAGCTGGGATTTACTGAGGGGCCAGGACGGCCTATCAGGGGAGCCACTCTCTGTCCTGCTGAACCCTGAGAAGAGTCAAGTGGGTTTTCATCACACCTCCCATTCTTACACCTGCGATGGGCAGAGAGGGGAGGCGGTAAAAAGGGACGCCACAAGGGCAAATGAAGGGTGCGCGAGGGACGTAACGTGTACACGGAGGGGTGGGCAAGGCCCTGGACGGAACTCAGGAGCCTGCTGCTTTATCCACTTCCTCGTAATGAGCGAGCACAAGTCCTGAGACCGTTCTGTCGTCTGTAAAGTGAGGATGGTAATCATCGCCACGGACTGAGTGCATGACCGAGGCTAAGTGCTCCATGTGCGCTGCCTCATTAATTCCCGCAGCCACGGGAGGCTGTTCCTGTTCAAATGCTCATTTCCTAGATGCAGAAGCAGAGGCTTCACTTAACAAGGGAGCGTGGTCAGTGTCACTCACTCAGTTCTTGGCGGAGCTGGACCGTGACCTCTGGGTGTCGCGGTCCATTACGTTCTGTCAGTTAATAGTCCCTGGCAATACAGAAGAATCTTCCCGTCCTTAGTCCACGACAGTGAAATCTACCTTGGCGCTCTCCCCTAGCGGGGAGCTGCTGTCCTAGAGCTAATGCTTTCCCTCTCTGGGTCAATTTCCTCATCTCTAAATTCATAGTGCTCTTACAGTTTCAAGTTACTAACTACAAACTCGTCTGTGCTGGTCAAACTTCTGTGGAGAGAGTGGGTTCCCATTAGGCTTCCGTCATTTCAGGTTTCTCATGTACTAAGCTTCTAGTGACAAAATGTAAGCCATGTGTGCCTTACCACACATGTACACATGTGTGTATTTGGTCATAGACACTCACACGTGTACAGATACACGCCACGCTTTATTGTTACACAGTTCCCCAGATTGCATATACTCACAATCGATTGCCAAAGTCTTCACTGTAAGCGCTTTATTAGCAAACACCCTGTTCTATGAGCTACTGATCCCCTATCAGCTGTATGTACAAATGCCTGCCCTCTGGGCCGACCGGAGGCTGTTTTTCC